TGTTGCTGGTTGAATAGAGTTTAGTGTTACCTGCAATCTGTACATTCCTTTTCAGCTGCTCTTTTCTGCCACTTGAGGTGCGGTTAAGCTACGGTTTCCCTCCATCCCTCACCACTCTCTTCCCCCCGCCACTGCCATGGTTACTTTCACCATTCCCTCTCTCACACTTTAAATTATTTTCAAGATTTTTATTACAGCCAAAGTACTAAAGTTCAGTTCAGTTCAATGTGAATTGCTTATAACCATAGGTCATCACAATATAAAACCAAGAGAGTGTACAAATATCAAACAACAGTTAAACTATATAATGTACAATATAAAATTTCATATAGCATTTCTGTTTTGACTAAATATTCAGGAAGAATTAAATATTGCAGGATATACAAAATAAAGGCCTAAAACAATAGAACGTCAGACTTTGGGGAATGCCTCATAATAACTTGCACTGGTTTTAGCTAATGCCATTAAGAAAGTTCCAGCTCTTCTAGTAATACTAGAATACAAAAATTATATTTTTTTTTTTTGGCGGACGGGCTATTTCTATTTGTTAACAACCCCTTCAAGGTATTTTTCTCTAATTCCCTTTGACAATGGACAGCTAAGCAAATAGTGAGAGAGGTCATCAATTTCATCCAGACAGCAGCAGTAGTAGAGTAGATGGTAAGGGAAATTCCTTAGCTGGCCGTCCAGGACTGTGGAAGGCATTAGTTGAAATCTTGCTAGCTTTATGTCCCTTCTTAGGCAAAACTTTTCCATTTTAAACAGATAGTCTTCTGAGGGTACTTAAGTGCTACACCACTTTAGCACTCTAGCAGTGAAAGGGGGAGGAAGAAATATTCAGTTGGAAATAGAATGAGGGAACCCAGGTCAGTGGAAAACCTCCACTTGCAGTGTTTCAGTGTTGTTAACCTGTAGTATGGAATATTTTCTTTCCATCCCTGCCACCCCCTCCATGAATTTTCCGATTCCCATTTTGGGGGGAAAGATACATAAATCTTTTATCTAAATAATGTAATTAATGTATAAATCAGGGATAGGCAACCTTTTTCAGACCTGGGCCGGTCTCCTGTAGGGCCTGCTGGGCCGAGGGGGGGGGAATGGCAGCACGTGCGGTCACACACGCATGCGCACCCTCCTCCACCACGCGCGACCCCCAGCACACACTGCGGCCGCCACCGTAGCGCGCACAGCCACAGCCGCCACGGCGCATGTCACGGCCGCCATTTTGGAAGTCAAAATGGCGGCCACGATGCATTTGTGCATGTACAAGAGTACTGCGCATGCGCAAACATATCAAGACTGCCATTTTGACTTCCAAAATGGCGGCCGCGACATGCGCCGCCGAAAACGCGCCCCGACAGCGGCACGCGGCAGCAGCAACCTTCGGCCTGGGCCAGTAAGTCCGGGACCCAGGGCCTTAACCGGCCCCCAGGCCGTAGGTTGCCAGCCCCTGGTATAAATAATGTAATTGACTGCTAGATGGACTCAACTCCCCCCTTGCTCCTTCCACAGTATCTACATTCCCTTGCACATTTAATTGTTAAAAGTTTTTTTGTTATAGTCATAGCCACTTTAGCACTAGAATTCAAAAAGAAAGAAATAGCCGCTTCAATATTCAATGTGTTAAATGAAAATGTAAGGAGGAGACAAAGATCTGCATAAAATGTCTGTGGCACAGGTCACAACTCCGTTCCAAACATCCTCTGTGGGACTTCCCAAAAGTACAGCAGAAGGAACCAAAACAAATGATAACATTTGTGTGATATTATCTATAGGCTGGGCTAAACATCACACAAATGTTATCAGTTGTTTTGGTGTCTCCTGCTATACTTTTGGGAAGTCCCACAGATGATGCTAGCCCAGCCTATATCTGAGAGCCAGGGTGGAGTAGTGGTTTGAGTGTTGAATTATAATTCAGCAGACCAGGGTTCGATGCCCAGCTCTGCCACAAAACCCACTGGGTGACCTTGGGCAAGTCATACTCTCTCAGCCTCATGGGAAGGCAACAGCAAGCCTCCTCTGAACAAATCTTGCCAAGAAAACCTCATGATACTTTTGCCTTAGGGTCACCATGTGTTGGAAATGACTTGAAGGCACACAACAACAAATATTGGAAACTCCCAGGATAGGGAAAAATCTCACCCTACAGCGGGTTTTAAAGGTTGCTAATACTGGAAATTCACAAGAAAAATGTGAGGAAAAGAACAATATTGTATGGACATCTGACCACCAACAACAACAACTACAACTATAACTCTGACCAAACTCCAAGGCTTTTGGTAAGATCAAAGGAGCTGTTAAATATCCAAATGATGTTTGTTGTTCCAAACTATTTTATGCTAATTGCCAGCACCAGCTGCAACATTTTATTCCCCCCTTCTTGATTTTTTTTTTTTAATTCTAAGACATATAGTTGGTGGAGTGTACTTTTTAATTGATGGAGTCTATCATTTTGGCTTCTATGGAGAATTCAGGCTTAGTTTGCTCTAAGATACATTTACTGAACATTTTTGCAGCCCATGGTATTAGTAGAACTCTCCCACGCTTCAAATACACACATACACACACAAATGGCAAATGAGGAGATAGCATCATCAAAACAAAGACACTGGAAGAAAGATTTGAGCTGAATAGGTTTCTTTTCAGGCATGAATGTTCAGATTTAAAAATAAAATGGGACACTGCTCATCCAGGCTGTTGCTAAATTGAGTAAAATTGAATGTTATCAAAGGCAAAAAGGGAAGAATATCAGATGGATTGCAAAGTTGTTAGCCCACAGATCAGTCCTTCACCCCCGTCGACTTTTGATATCATCTTGATATCCTTTACTTGGTCATGTAGCCCTAATGCAGGAACAATAGCCTGCCCAAATACGGAGACCTGGCAGACTTGGCTCAGGAGCGCTAGGGTACATAGACAAGATAGGTCTTTTGAGACTGGAATCTTCGTAATTCCTTCACACAGGTATGGGATGGAGAGCAATGCACCAAGTACTTGCCAAAAGGTTGGGAATCAAAGGGCACTTCCCTCTGCAGATGACACCTTTTTGTGTGAGACATTTAGATTGATTGCCCTGCCATTTTCCCCAAACCTACAGCTATTCTTTCTCCTGGAATAATCCTTTCAATTCCTGAGAAACTCTCTCAGGTCTCATTTTTCCCTACAAAATATGCCTGTTTGGGTAGTCCCAATTTGGCCTTGGCTGAACACAGACACACTCCATCCTTTTCTACCTTGATTCCTCAGCACAAGATCCCTAATGCATGCTCAGTCCGAATCATCCACTGCATGCGCACATCCCGTTCGGAGCTCAATGCATGAATCCGGTAATGTATTGCCCACTGTTAAAACCCTCTGAATTTGCTTTACCAATGCATCGGTGGAGGTAGACATACCGTATTTTCCGGCGTATAAGATGACCTCCCACTTTTCCAGTTAAAATATAGAGTTTGGGGAGAGTATGACTTCCAAAACTGTTGTTGTTGTTGCTGTGCACCTTCAAGTCATTTCCAACTGATGATGACACTAAGGCAAACCTATCATGAACCTCCTTATACCCGGTGTATAAGACGACCCCCCCCACTTTAACCCCAGATTTTGCAGGTTTAAAAGTAGTCTTATACACCAGAAAATAAGGTAAGTCTACAAAAGCTGATTCTGCCAACTTCTTTCTTTAGTCTCAAAGGTGTTACAAGATCTCTCTACACCTTTTACATTGTTAGTTCTTGTGTGCACGTGTGAGCAAGTGCCTTTGAGTAAATGTTGATTTTTCCACTTGTCATTACAGCTGACCCTTTCTATCCAAGGGGCTTGCCATCTGCAGATTGGAGCATCTGTGGATGGCCCTGTCCCATTCTCCTCAATGGTGACACATGCATGCGACTGTGTGCACATTGCTCCAGAATAGAACCCCCACAGATACAAAGGCCAACTGTATAAATTAACTAATTTGGAATCTGCTGTTTGGAGTTCTGGGTTTGAAACCATTATACATAGATTGAAATCCCAGCTTTAAAGACTTACTTAAGCCCTCTCGCTGCTTCCTATTGAGATAAATCAATTCTCCCACTGAAGTCCATTGTGTGTGCTCTCCTGGGGCCCCAACATTTTTGGTAACAAAGTAAATGGATAAACAAACGACATTATTTCCCATCCCCAAACAAGGCAGTACAAATGTTCAATATACTCTAAGGAGAAATTTCAGTGAGAAACTATAGATATATATTGCAAAGGAATGAACAATTGGCCCTCCCATTTGCGTCTTTGACTTTTGAGGATTTGATTATTTGCAGTTTTGATTACTATGTCCTCTCCAGGAATCTCCAAGTCCTCCAGCACAACTCTGCCACATGTTGATCATAGAATTGTGCTGATGGGAAAACCTAGAAGTTCCTTGAGAAAACACTGCTCTAGGCATTTGTAGTTCCTCCAACACAATTCTATTATCAACTTCTGGCAGATGCTGACCATAGAGTTGTACTGGAGGACCTGTGGATTCCTAGAGAGGTGTTCTCTCAGGAAAAAGAATAGTGGGATTTTTTAATTTGAAGTTTTTGCACATTCACAGGGGTCCTTCACCCCGAACCCCAGTGAATGTAGAGGGACCACTGTAGTTCCGTTGACATTGAAAGGTATAAGCTAACATATGGACATTAGCATTTTAAAGTTGGAAAGGTGACCTGATACATGCTATTTATTACATTTCACAGATTTATTATTTCTGTTCTTGATTTCTGTTGGTTGTTTCTTTTATTTCTGTTTCTTTAAAGCAAGGGCTTGCAACCTCTCTAAAAATCTGAACACTTGATCAATTACCAAAGACTTTCATGACTTCAGAACTGGCTCTTCAATCTTATCCTCTGTGCTAAACACCAAGAGTTTTTGGCAGATGCCATAATGGGAAACAGAATAGACAGTGATTTGAAATTTGTGCTGTAATGTAGTTAGTGAGTTTGCATGCACTTCATCAATGGATGTGAGAGCAGATACACCTCTGTTAAAAGAACCAGTGTGATGTAGTGGTTTGAGCACTGGAGATCTGGGTTTGAATTCCTGATCAGCCATGGATACCCACTGGGAGACTTTGGCCTTGCGGCCTTAAATGAAGGTAAGAACAAACCTATTCTGAAAAATCTTGCCAAGAAAACCCATGATAGGTTCACTTTAGGGTCACCATAAGTCGGAAATGACTTGAAGGAATACAATAACAGCAGATAAACATGGTCAAATACTCTGTTTCTTGTCATCTAGTAAAACAATTGAACAATCTGTAGTTCAGTTTTTGGCAATGATTTTAACATTTCAACACCCCTTTAACCAGGGACCGGCAACCTACGGCCCGGGAGCCGGTTAAGGCCCCGGGCCCCGTACTTACTGGCCCAGGCCGGAGGTTGCCGCCGTTGCCACTGCCGCTGCCGGAGCGCATTTTCAGCCGCATTCGCGCCGATCACCATTTTGTAAGTCAAAATGGAGGTCGCGACGCATTTGCGCATGCGCAGTACTCTTGCGCATGCGCAAATGTGTCGCGACCGCCATTTTGACTTACAAAATGGCAGCCGCGACATGTGCCGTGGCGGCTGGAGCCGCGCGCGCTATGACGGCGGCTGCGGTAGCAGCTGCGGTGGCCACGTGCACGCATGAGCGCGCGTGCCGCCACTCCCCCCCTCGGCCCAGCCGGGAGCTGGGCGACGGAAGACCAGCCCAGGTCCGAAAAAGGTTGCCTGTCGCTGCCTTTAACTCTTCGTCTAACTGATCTACAACATGTTAAGGATAGTCTCTTGCAGTGATTTCAAGAACTATAGGCTGAGTTATCAGCAGCAATTATCTAGAATTGAACTTATCAAATGGATACTATTTTTTTAGCAACATATTAATCTCCCAAAAATAGCTCACCATGTAAATGAAATCACACATTATAGATGGGCAAAAAAAAAAAAAAAAGGCTGGCATAGTCCACAAAAAAATGCAGAAAAATGTATCTCTGGTGGCTCTTTCATCCACGGATACAATTCTGAGGTGACACTTGAAATAAATATGTACAGTTAACAAAATAAAGGAGTGATAAAAGAGAGCTGAGAGTGTCAGTTAGATGCCAGCTAGCATCTGTGATTAAAAGTAACTGAAGTGGTGGGAAGGCAGGAAGGAGACTCTTAAAAAGAAATGTCAACAGCAGATCACTTGCCTTAATCTATTATTCAGCACCAGAGTGTGGAAATGTTACTTTTTGGACTATAACTTCCAAAAAATCTTGAGCTGCCAAGACAGCTATGAGATTCTAGGAGCTGTAGACCAAAACTGATAATTTTTAAGGACAGGATATTCTTGCAGGTGACAAGGAAAGCAGCCAGCCTAGGCGGCATGGGGCATGCAAGGTAAAGGTCTACCTAAATCCCAACATATCAAAAATAGGGTTTGCATATCAAACATTGTGTTTGCATTCTTCCTATCAATTAAGTGTGATAACCAAACATCCCTTTTAAACTTCCCGAAACCTGGGCAGCAGTCTCAGCTGCTGCCACACTACAGAATTAATGCAGTTTGACATATTTCTTGGCAGCTGAAACAAAGAGGTTCACACAATGAAGAGAAAACATACAGAAAGGTGAAGATTTGTTGACATGCAAACTCAAAAATGAGGAATGGAGGGGGGGGAGAGAAATATGTGGCAGTACCTTTTAAGACTAACTGGTTTTTATTTTAGCATGAGCTTTCATGGATAAGTTCATGCTAAAATAAAAACCAGTTAGTTTTATGAGAGGTGCTGCCATGTTTTTTTCTCCCCTCTCACCCTTTTTATGCTGCAAGAGATTAACATGGATGCTTCTTTATAGCCCTGGTGGCGCAGTGGTTAAATGCCCGTACTGCAGCCACTCTCTCATAAACCACAAGGTTGCGAGTTCAATACCAGCCAGGGCTCAGGCTAGACTCAGGCCTGCATCCTTCGGAGGT